TTATTTTAAAGACAGAGGGACACAGAGAGGGAGAGAGAGAAGGTAAAAAGATCTTCCTTTTGCTGGTTCACTCCCCAAATGGCCACATAGCTAGGGCTGGGCCAGGCTAAAGCCAGGAGCCAGGAACTCCATCCTAGTGTCCCACGTGGGTCCAGGTGCCCAAGCACTTGGGCCACCTTCTGCTGCCTTTGCAGGTCCATTAGCAGGGAGGTGGACCAGAAGCAGAGCAGCCAGGATTCAAACTGGCCTTCTGCTACGGGATGCCAGCATCACGGGCGGCAGCTTACCCTGCTGTGCCGCAATGCTGTCCCCAGCCCCAAGTCTTCAACTGTAGAAGATGGGGTGGGGTAGGAGTCTGGGTCTGTGCAACTTCAGAGGCGAAGGTCTTTGCTGCTGTGCAGAGCAGTGACGCTGGAGGCAGGAACACAGGAATATCACCAAGTAAAAACATTCCACCCATGGAAGATCAAATTAAAGTGGCGTATCAGCAGGAAACAGATGGCACCCTCAAATTAGGATAACTCAAACAGAGTTTCATAAAGAAAAGTATTTACGAGGCGTGGGCAGAGTGTCAGGAAACCACAAGCAACGTGGAGAACCCCAGATCAGTAATAGTGGGGCTCCGTTACGGTTCCAAGGCCCCCAGGGCAGATGAGTGGTGGATGAGTGGCACTGGGGAGGGAGCGGCACTGTGCAGAGGGCTGCTGTATTTGAGCTGAGACCTTTGGCTGTGGGATACAGTGCTGGAGACCCCACCAGGAGAGAACATGGCATATACATCCCCGAATCTCACTCTTGAGGTTCTCTTTACCCCTTCCCATTGGTCTGCCCATGCCAATCCCAGTTGGAAGTCAGATGGCAAAGAGCCCACTGATGTGCCCCCCAGCTCAGACTTTGGGAGTGCCAAGTAGGGCAGGAAAGAGGGGAGGGTGGTTTGCAGGGGCAAATGGAAGACGTCAGCCCAGGGCACCCGTCAGGGCAAGGTCGTGTGGGGACTCAGAATGTGCCCGCTCGCAGCATGCCACCTTGGAACAAGGGCTCTCTTGCGCTGAGGGCATTTGAGATTCCAGAGATGCGGAATGAAACCTTCCAGGTGCCTCCCTTTTCTGAGTGACAGCAGAAACTTCTGAGAACGAGGACTGCCATGAATCCCCTCTCCTGGGGCAGCTTTGTGGCCATGCAGAGGGTGGAAGGTGGCACCGACATGCACAGAGCCGTCATCTGCCATTAGTGGCCCTGGAGGATCGACCTGCCAAGCATTTGCCACCTGGAAGCCTACAGCGCCCTTCGCCTTGTGGCAGCATTTCTCTGGGGGTCATCCTGCCTAGTTGACATGCCATAAAAGCCCCCGGGGCCTAGCTGCTTTCAGGTGTTTGTTTCCCTTCCCTATGACTCTCTTCAACTCCTGCCATGTAAAACTTACAGCATCAAATACAACTTGTATGTTCTCCCTCCCCTCCCCACAACCCCTGACCTTATTAACTCACTCCTTCATCTATCTTTTTTTTTTTTTTTAAGATTTATTTGTTTGAAAGTCAGAGTTACAGAGAGAGAGGGAGAGATGGAGACAGAGGTCTTCCATCTGCTGGTTCGCTCCCCAAATGATGGCAGTAGCTGGAGCTGGGTCAGGCTGAAGCCAGGAGCCAGGATCTTCTTCCAGGTCTTCTACATGGGTGCAGGGGCCCAACACTTGGGCCATCTCCTGCTACTGTCCCAGGCCATTAGTGGGGAGCTGGATCGGAAGTGGAGCAGCTGACTTGAAGCAGTGCCCGCATGGGATGGTGGCATTGCAGGTGGTAGCTTTGCTAGTTATGCCACAATGCTGGCCCCGGGTGACTTTGCAGTCCCAGTCTCAAAACCCAAGAGGGTAACTTTTCTTCCCTTGCAGTGGTGGTGATGAATATGGGAGGAAATAAAGACAAGGGTGACTACAAGTCCCAGCTTCAGGGCTGGGGAGGCATCTCCTCACTCCCTCCTCCCATCCGCTGCATTTGGTCACCTTGTCTACCAAAAGAATCAGTGATTCCGCCTCCAGGAACTCCTCAAGGTTTCAACCTCAGGATCTCTGTTTTGATGAGTTTCCAAATGGACAGATGGCTGAACTATGCACAGTGGCCTCTTCTTCCAGTTTTGTTGGGGGAGTAGCAGAGGACATTGAAGTCTTTTATTATTATTATTGTTTACTTATTCATCTGAGAGGCAGACACACACACACACACACACACACACAGCATTAGTAGGAATCTGGAATCAGGAGATAGTCAGGAATTGAACTCAAGCATTCTGATATAGGATGTGGGATGTCTAAACCAGTGTCTTAAGTGGTAGGCTAAATACCCACCTCCAGTTACTTTTAGCAAGTTATGTTTTAGGGGCCAGTGCTTCATCAAAATGGGTTAAACCACCACCTGCAGTGCCAACATCCCATATAGGTGCTGATTTGAGTCACCGCTGCTCCACTTCTGATCCAGCTCTCTGCAAATGCACTGGGAAACCAGTGGGAGAAGACCCAAATCCTTGGGCCCCTGCACCTACATAGGAGACCCAGATGAAGCTCCTGACTCCCGGCTTTGGTGGGGCCCAGCCCCACCTGATGTACTCATTTGGCATTTAGGGAGGGAACCAGCAGATGGAAGATCTCTGTCTGTTTCCACTCCCCCACCCCATAACATGTATTTCAAATAAATAAATACATGTTTTACTACCGAAAGAAAGTTATGTGTTAAAACATCTGAGACGGGTTTTCCTGTTTTTCCTCTAAAGTCTATTTCACCTAATCCTTCTTGTCAAACACCATATATCCTACTAAATGGAGCCATATTTTACCACCACTAAAAACCACTTGCTTGTTTCCTTCCAGGATTTGCAGTTTCTGAAGTCCACTGGCCATGGCTTTGGATGTCTGGTAATGCAGATTTTCATCAGTGCATCTCAGTCATCTTTATAGTGGCATTTCTCACAGCCTTCCCCAGAGGCTTTTATGAACATCACTGTCAGCATAAGTAACAGTAACAAATCCAGGAGCACTTTAGCTGACATTTTAACAGTCAAACAGCCTATGAGCCTGGTACACTTGGTTCAGAAACACAGTGCTCCTGAGAATACAGGGGGCGAGCGGAGCAATGCTTAGAATTTCTAGATGAGAACACTCACAGGGGGAGCAGGTGTCCTAATTCACTTAGAGAAATGTCGTGACACTGTTGAGCTGTTCCCACTCTTTCCCCCTTGCTGATGGAACTCTGCTATTGTTCAGAGAGTAAGACACTATGAGGAACAGTGACTTGATCAGCCCTTGTCCTGACTATTGATGTACAACTTAATACTTTACCCCTTTTAGTATTTTTTTTTGTTCTACTTAATACTATTGGTTGAACTCTGTAATTAACACACAGTTATTCTTAGGTGTTTAAATTTAACTGAAAAGTGATCTCTGTTAAATATAAGAGTGGGAATAAGAGAGGGAGGAGATGTACAGTTCGGCACATGCTCAATCAGAAACCAGGACGTCTCCTATCAGTTTCCACTTACTACTTTCATATGTTAATGTATTTAAAAAATAGGATCAGAGTAGATTTTTTTTTTTTTTTTACAGGCAGAGTGGACAGTGAGAGAGAGAGAGACAGAGAGAAAGGTCTTCCTTTGCCGTGGGTTCACCCTCCAATGGCCGCCGCGGCCGGCGCACCGTGCTGATCCGAAGGCAGGAGCCAGGTGCTTCTCCTGGTCTCCCGTGGGGTGCAGGGCCCAAGGACTTGGGCCATCCTCCACTGCACTCCCTGGCCACAGCAGAGAGCTGGCCTGGAAGAGGGGCAACCGGGACAGAATCCGGCGCCCCGACTGGGACTAGAACCCCGTGTACCGGCGCCGCAAGACGGAGGATTAGCCTAGTGAGCCACGGTGCCAGCTGTATCAGAGTAGATGTTTCTAACCATATGTCTGGATCTCTGTTTAACTACATGTAGATCAGCCTTGTTCTTTTTAATAACTGAGTGATATTCCAAAGCAAGGCTATATCATGGCATGTGAGATCACATCTGTCAGTGGGCAATGGACTGTGGGCCACTCCTACGATCTCCTTCTAAGGGGCAGCACGTGCTTACCTCATGAGGTCCAGCCTTTCACCAGCCACAGAGAAGCTGGACAGGGACCCAAGGGCTGCCAGTCTACTCTGGAGAGCTCCAACCAAACTGAAGCAAGCTTACCTGCTCCAATTCTCTCTCTTGGGACCTGAGACTGGAAAACAGAGAACAAGTCAGATAAGGGGTGGCAGGCCCAGGAGCTGAAATGTTCAGGGAGAGCCCCAAAAGGGTGCCATGTTGTCCCTGGAACAGGTGCCCAGGAGTGTGAGAAAGAGGCCTGGAGCCCTCACAGTGAGAGTTGTCAAAGGAATAAAGGACGTCTGTCTGGAGCAGTGGTTCTTACAGTGTGGTCCCCAAGCAGCAGAGTGAATTTCTGGGCCCATCATATGCTCACTGAATCAGAAACTCTGGGGTGGGGACCAGCGCTGTGTATTTCATCAAAATCTTCAGTGTGATGCATGCTCAAATTTGAGAACCATTCGCCTAGGGAAGACCCAGGCAGGACATGAGAGTGGTCTCCACGTACTTGAAGGAGTTAGTAGAAGGTGTATCATGACAGCCAGAAGACAGTGCTAGAATTAGTGGTCGGGGGAAAACAGGGAGCTAGATTTCAGAGCTATAGAAGGAAGACTTAGTAAGTGGCTAAGTGTGGAGTGAGAAAGGTTTGGGCTTGCTAGATAGTGAGCTGCTTGTCTCTGGTGGTGTTCAAAGAAAGGCTGCACCAGTCATCATAGGCAAGATACGGAAACAACCTAGCATATACGCACACTTTAGAATATAATTCAGCCATACAAAAGAAAGAAATTCTGGCAATTGCAATAAAATGAACAGAACTGAGGTCATTATGTTAAATGACATAAGCCAGAAACAGAAAGGCAAATGCTGTGTGTCCTCTCTCTCTCTTTCTCTTCATTTTCCCCCCATTGTTATAGGCTGGGAGGCGAATAGAATGATGCTTTCTAACCAGTTCTCCTAACCCCTTTCAATGTCCCAGAGTTTAATGAACAGGGACGCTGCCCTGAACTGAACTCAACACTTTGGAATATGTTCTCTCTTCTACATGGGCGGTAAGTGCATGCACTTTGAGTAGTGATGACTAGGGCTGGGAAGAGAGGAGGGAGGGCGGATGGGGGAGGTTGGGTAACAGGCACCCAAACACAGTTGTGTAGAAGGAATAGGTTCCAGTGCCCCACGGCATAGGGGGCATCGGTAGCTCATAAGTGCCCCCTGATCTACTGCATGAGGACCTGGGAGAGAGGCGGTGCAGGCTCCAAGTGTAAGGATGAGGAAATTGCCTGGCTTGCTCACTTGACACTGTATATATATGTTGCAATATTCTACTGCACCTCACAAACTTGTACAAGTATTTTATGTTAATTGAAATTTTAAAAAAGGAGGGGCTTCCTGCACCCAGCTGGCGGACATTGTAGAGAGCAGGGAAGGCTACAGGAAAGCGAGCCAAGAGGGGCAGGAAAGGGGAAGTGTGAGTAGGGAGGCTCTGCAAGTCAGGAACAGGGACTGAGGCCTGCACCCAGGCCCCGTCATTGCCATGGCGACAGTGGGGGTGGGCCACAGCAAACTCTTTGTGTTTGTGGCTTGCTCACAGAGTACCTCTTGAGTGAGAAGCGGCTGTGGGATCCTCATCTCTGCCAAGCAACACATCCAGTCTTTTAGGATGAGGATTCCAGCTTGGGATTTGCTTGCTTATCCTAAAGATCTGGGAGGTGTCTAGAATCTAGACCCTCACTGAATTCTCTTGAGCGAAGGCAGGGCCTGCAGTATTGCAGCAGAGGTGGAGGAAGTCTGATCATCCAGCAAACACCGCGGGAAGCTGCGTGGAGAATCATGAATATCAATAGCAAACCTGGTTAAAGGTACTGGCTCTGGAGTCAGAAGGCTGCAGATGTAACTGCAGGACTGTGGGCAAGTTATTGTCCTCTGACTTATTTCCTAGTCTCTGTTTTTTCTTAAGATTTATTTTATTTTATTCGAAAGGCAGAATTACAGAGCAAGAGGGAGAGACTGAGGGAGAACTTCCATCTACTGGTTTACTCCTCAGATGGCCACACTGGTCAGGGCTGCGCCAGGCTGAAACCAGGAGCCTGGAACTCTATTTGGGTCTCCCATGTTGGAGGCAGGGGCCCAAATTCTTGGGCCATCTGCTGCTGCTGGATGGAAGTGGAGTATCTGGAACTTGATGGCATGCCAGCATTGCAGGCGGTGGCTTAATGGGCTATGCTGTAATGCTAGCCCCTCCTAGTCTCTTTAAATAAAGCTTGTGCTTGTTATTATGTGATATGATTGGTTTTGCATTGAGAGTATAGCACCATGCCTGGTGTTTGATAAGCATATGATATATTTTATCACTGCTAGTATTACTTTCTCTGTCTTTCTCTCAGATTTATTTATTTATTTGAAAAGGAGAGAGCGAGAGCGAGAGAGAGATTGAGAGATTGTCTATAAACTGGTTCACTTCCCAAATGCCCACATTGACATTGCAGGTGGCAGCTTTACCCACTACACCACAGTGCAGGCCCCCCACAGTGTCTTAATACTTCCAAAACAGCTCTCTACTAATGGGCCTGAGAAGGCAGTAGAAGATGGCTCAAATACCTGGTCCAGCCATTGTCATTGCAGCCATTTGGGGAATATCTTTCTCTCTCTGTCTCTCCCTCTCTCTGCCTTTCAAATAAATGAATAAATCTTTTTTTTTGAGATTTTATTTATTTCTTTGAGAGGTGGAGTTACAGACAGAGAGAGGGAGAGACAGAGAATGAGATCTTCCATCTGCTGATTCACTCCCCAAATCGCCACAACTGCTGGAGCCGAGTGATCCTAAGTCAGGAGCCAGGAGCTTCCTCTGGGTCTCCTATATGGGTGCAGGGACCCAGCACTTGGACCACCTTCTACTGCTTTTCCAGGCCATTAATCAAGAGTTGGATGGGGAGAGGGGCAGCTGGGACACGAATCAGCACCCATATGGGTTGCTGGTGCAGCAGGTGGAGGCTTATCTCAATATGCTACAGTGAAGACCCCAAATAAATGAATCCTGAAAAAAAAAAAAAAAGAAAAAAATAAGCTTCCTTTTCATGCCCTGCCTGGCTCTGGAGGATTCACAGGGACAGAAGGGTGGTTTGGGACCTAAGCTTCTCTTTGCAAAGAGAGGCTGGCAGGTCTGCAGCAGATGGGTCTTAGATGCCAAGGATGGGCCAAGGCAGGACTACCTTCTGGCTCCTTGGCGTCTGTGGCTCTGTGAGTTTTCAGCTTTGCACTGGCGGGTGGCCTGGTTGTGCAGTGCTGGGACACCTCCATCTCACTTTCCTGGCTTTCCTTGCTGCCCTGATCTTTCTGGGGTAGCCTAGGCCTGCAGCTACCAATTGTCAGGCCTGCTGCATGGGACATGTCACAGTGGGTGCAGATGAGAAGCCAGGGACCCCGTTCCTCTTGGCTCTTCCCCACTCCCAGGGACTCTCAGCTTGCCTGGTTTCTGAGGAAATGTCAGGTTTTCTCAGCTACAAGACAAAGGTTTTGCTTATATTATTATTGTCATATGTTGAACATCTCTTATCTGAAATGTTGGGGGCCAGAAGTGTTGATGAGTTTTTGCAGATTTTTGAATATTTGCAAGTACATAATGAGGTGTCTTGGGGATAGGACCCAAGTCTAAACACAGAATTCACTTTGCTTCAGATATGCCCACACCCGCAGCCTGGAGGTAATGTAATATGATATTGCTGGTGCTCCCGTGTTTGACTTTGACCTCTCACGGGAGGTCGAGTGTGGGGTTTTCCATGTGTGGCATCAAGTCAGCCCTTGGAAAGTTTGGGATTGTGGAGCACTTTGGATTAGGGGTGCTTGGCCAGTATTACTATTACTGTTTAACTTCCAGGAACAATTCCCTGACAAATCTGGCATGGCTGCCTGTCATCTGGGTGGAGAGTAGAAGTCCTTTCTAAACTGCTGCAGCAGCAGGCAGAGGCCGTGGAGACCAGACTGTCTGTCCAGGGTCAGTTCCCACGGTGTTTAGGTGTCAAGGTGACTTCTGGGCTCCCAGTGCTGGTTTTCTCCGCTTGGCCTCTGTTCTCCCCTTTCTTGACTTGGGAGTGTAGCAGGTGCTGGGCGGGGTTCTTTGCTGCGCAAATTTGCTGAACCTCGTTCGGCAGGACCGTGTCTCTCTGATGCTGGAAAGTATTGAAAAACATCTTGACCAGCTTCTCCCTGGCCAACACCTGCTTCACTCCATCTCACCATGGAGAACTCACCGCTTCCTGAATCTCTGCTTTCACTCTTAGATGGTTCTAGAGAGAAGAGCAGAACTGGAATTTGTGGCTAGGGCTGTTTGAATGGGCAGTTACTGGGCTTAACTTTAAATTCCTTTTCCTTTGAGAAATCCATGGGTTGTTGGCACTCAGTTCTCTAGCTCTTTGGACATTTCTCTTAGGGTCCAGTTTCCAGCATCCCATCTAAAACGTGGGCTGTGCCCATTGTTAGTGGGAAAAGGTGTAATTGTAGGAGAAATCTATTTGCCACCAGAGAGAGTCAGGTAGGGGATGGAGAGGGTGACTTCTAAGGTTCTGTCTGTTTGCATGTGGGGCTTCTTCCCTCATGCTATGAAGAAGCTGGGGTCTGTGATTCTTGGGCATTCTTATTATTTTTAAAATACTTATTTGTTACTTGAAAGTCAGAGTTACAGAGAGAGACAGAGAGATCTCCCATGCATTGGTTTACTACCCAGAAGGCCACAACAGGAGCCAGCAGTGTCTTTTGGGTCTCCCACATGGGAGGCAGGGATCCAGACACTTGGGCCATCCTCTGCTGCTTTTCCCAGGGCGTTAGCAGGAAGTTGCATCCAAAGTAGGGCAGCCGGGACATGAACTGGCACCTGTCTTGGATGCCAGTGTTGCAGGTGGCGGCTTGACCTGCGAGGCCACAGCACCCGCCCCTCTCTGGGGATTGTTTTCATGCAAGGAAAATAAGTTGGAGAAGTTACAGTGTCCTGGCCTGAGCCGGGCAGCTGCTCTCTGTCTTTTCCCACTCTCTGCTTCTTTCCTTCCCCCATCGTTTCCTGCCTGCGGCGGTACACCCAGCAGCCAGAGCTCCCGAGCCCTGTTATTTAAAATTCAGCCATCACCATGGCAACCTGCATCCTGCTCCATTTCAACCAGAGATACAAAGAAGCAGTGAAAGGGAAAGTTTAATAAGATTTTTTTTTTAATGAATCTCACTGACAGTGTCCGTCTTTTTGGGAAATAGAAATGTTCCATTTTAGTGGTGTTATCAACATGTCATTCATTTCCTGCCTCGCGTCTTTTGGAAGGGCAGTCACTGCTTCCTTTCTAGGGCTGCTGATGTCACTCGTTCTCCCCCTTCAGAATGGGTGAGGGGTCTCATTTGGCACTGAGGTGTTCTGAACGCCTAAGGGTGGGGATACCTCCGGGAGTTTCCCGGGTTTTTCCTCCTGTGCATTTTCCTGACTGCAAATCCAAGTCATGTCAGGGTTAAAGAAGCTGGAAGAGTTCTCCAAGCTTCCTCCACTGTGTCATTTCTGTGTTGCTTGTCAGGCGGCTGTTGGGAGAGCGCTTCCTGCTTATCTCCCTGCGGGTGTGGCCGCTGACAGCATTGGTCCCTGGGATTCGCAGGAGTCCTCCCCTGATGGGCCCGTGGATTAGCATGTGGCCCACGGGGCACCAAGGAGAGGTGGTTTGGGGACCGCTTCCTCCTGCTCCTGAGAGAGAGCTCCTCTGTGTCTCTGCAGTGTGGATGAAAGCTTGGAGCTGGGGAGGTCACCTGCCTGCAAGTGGAACAGGCACAGAGGCCAGCAGAGCTGAAGGGTGGGGAAGGGACGCCAGGCTCTGTGACGTTGCTCCACGGCCCGGGCTGAGCCAGTGCGGAAGAATCCACGGCTGCACAGCTTCATAAGCAGTATCTCTCTTTCCCCCTCTTCATGTTGGTTTAGGTCAGGGTTTCTCATGCCTGAAAGCTGTGACTGTGAAGTTAAAGAGCCAAGATCCTGTTTTGGACAAATGGCGCGGTGAGGCCACAG